TTTTAATTGTGGGTATTGGTGAGTAAAATTATTAGTTTTTTTTAAAAGGAATATATAAGAACTGTAGATCTTGTTGTTTCAACAAGAGTCTGATGTCTGTTGTTGAGTAATTTTAACACTTGAAATAACTCAACTACTCAGTCTCTTGCTGAGTTACTTAAACTCTAAATTTCAGGTTCTGCACATATTCAGCATAAGCATTTTTTTTAAATCACGCTCATCTCTTTCTCTGTTTTCCACCAGGCAGCATCCCAAACTCAGAGTTTCTGCAAGGCACTAAAATACAGAAGAACTCCAAAAATTTTGTTGTTGTTGACAAGGTCAGCTTTTAATCTGTTATCACAGTTGGTTAGTAACGAGTTAATTTTATCTGAGTAATGTTTTTAGGACTATTTTTACTGTACTTTTTACTTTTGAGTAATTTTGTTTTTAAGTGTCAATACTCCTACTTGACTAAAATGTTTGAATTCTCTGCCTCTGAATGAAAAAAAAAAGTATTTTAATCCAAATATGTAACAAAAAATAATAAAATCAGGCAATAGAAAATTTTTCCAAATCAGTTTCTTTCAATACGAAACTTATAAACTTTAGCAGAAACTGCAAGTGTGTTTGTCTGGTGAATTTTGGTTCAAACATGTTTATTTTACTTTCAGTGGGTTGAGAGTCTAGAAAATTTACTCAAGAAAGAGTAGAAATACTTCATAATAAAATTACTCAAGTAAAAATACTAACTTCTTCAAAAATGTTACTCAAGTGTATCTGAGTAATTTCTGGAGGTAAAGTATGTTGAAGTTGTGCTCCTCTTAAGTATAATTTTTGGATTCTCTACCCGGATTTCAACACTTCATGTATCTTCATTTCTAACGCATTTTTTACATAATTTACTCTCCAAGTTTGCTTCCTCAGTCACTGTAAACCCGATTTCCTCATTGACAGAGATAATCTTTGGTTTTTCTCCCACAGTACATGCGAACAAACGTCCCTGATGTTTTCTGTGCGGGTGACTTGGCCTCCTTTCCTCTGGCACTGGCGAAAAACCAGTTAGTGAACATTGGACACTGGCAGATGGCACAAGCACAAGGTAGCAACACCTTCTGCTTCTCTGTGCTGAACATGCAGGGATAATATTCTGCAAACCGTCGCTTAAACAAATGGGTGATTTTACTTTTCATGTCAAACCACTTTATCACCAACAAATCAGTTTTATCCACACAAATTCAGGTATTTTCTCTTTTTTGGATCAATCTCTGCAAACCTGGAAGGAAAGAAGACAGATGCTTTTCTGCAAAAATGTTTGAAACACTCGGACCAACTTTTGTGGCATCACACTCAAAATCACCTTTCCAGTTTATTCTCAAAATCGGAGTTACATTTACTTGAGTAACTATATTGAAAAATTTCCATTTTAGGAGTATTTTTACTTCACTGTATTTTATCATGAGGTATTTCTACTATTACTGAAGTAAAACTTCTGGATTTTCTATGAAAAACAAACATGTTTTAATCAAACATTTACCAGACACAGACACACACCTGCAGTTTTTCTTAAAGTTTATAAGTATTGTATTTAAATACATTTTTATTGAAAGTTGGAATATTTTTTATTGTATTTCTTGTTACTCATTTGAATAGTTGGCCTTTAAAACCAAAATCTCCACGTAACTTTATATTTTGGTACGTTAATGATATAAATCTTAAATATTAAATGATTGATAACAAATACTTTTTACTCTTACTTGAGTAATTACTTTAACTTAAATAAAAACATGTTGAGTCATTGCTACTCTAACTTGAGTACAATTATTGGTTATTCTTCCCATCTCTCTTTATTCTGAACTTTTATAGCTAATAAAGTAGAAAGCATTTCTTGTCAATACTCCTGATTTTGACTGAACACAAACTCCTCCAGCTCTAATCTTGTTTTGTTTAATGTAGAATGTATTAAAAATTATTCTTATGTGAACTGTAAAGTTTTCTTTTTGTGCTTTAGGGAGGATAGCTGCTCTGAACATGCTAAAGAAAACGACTGAACTCACCTCAGTTCCTTATTACTGGACCATCCTGCAAGGCAGAACCATCAGATATGCAGGTAAGCAAACAAACTCACTAAGTTTTCTTATTTTATCTGTAACTGGAAGAAGCTGCTGTCTGCTCTGGTTTGTTCCAGGTTATGGGGAGGGATACACTGAGATAATAATAAAAGGAAACTATGAGTTTGAGGAGAGGAAGTTCCTGGCCTTGTACATCAAGTAGGTTGAGAGAGAGACAATCTAATTGTAAAGAAAAGCATGCAGATTCAATGATTAGTTTTTGTTTTCTTTAGGAATGATGAGGTCATAGCAGCGGTGGGCCTGGATTATGATCCTGTGGTGTCTGCTGTGGCCGAGAGGCTCCTATCAGGGAAGGTCATCACAAAGAAAGAGGCTCTGTATGCAAACTCTTCAGATTATTCATCCTTTTTTAAATTTTTTACATTTAATTTAAAGTTGCAAGATAGATTGAAGGGATATTTCTTCACTTCAACCCAAAAATAGCAAAAAGAAATGAGAGAGTGACGTCAAGGCTGATGTGACAAGATGGTTCCAACATATTTTGAAAAAAGAAAACAGAAAAATGAAATTTAATTTTTTTTTTTTTTTTTTTATGTGAGTCAATTTTTACCTCCATTTTTTGACAGGTCAGATGATCCCAGTTGGCTTCAGGTTTCCTGATCTGCATTAAAGCTGAAGAGTAAAATATCAGAGGACTTCACACCTTCATGTTTCTGTGTTCTGGTGCTGGAAAACTATTCACAGCAGGGAGTCCAACACAACTGATACCTCAAATAGATGTAGCTTTGGGTCTTTTTTGGTCCAAAGTGCTGTTTTTTAACTTAATAAAATCTGTGTACAGGAGTGTCTGAGAGGTGTCTTTTAATATGATGCATCTTGTGTCTTACTATGTTTTTTTTATATAAAAATGCAGACTTTGGAACTGCTGGTACAACATAAGTGGGCTTGGAGGTCGCAGGGGGCTTTGGATGGACAGGATTAGCAGATCAGAGAGAAGGAAAAGGAAAAGCATCTGTGGACTGACAGGGGCCATCAGGGGATTCCAGGTAGATTCCAGGTAGATTCCAGAGATGTGCATCGCAGCGGCTCTTCGTGCAGGGCCGGCCCAAGGTAATATGGGGCCTTAGACAGATCCCCCCTGAACCCTCCAAAACCCTACCTACTAAGAACCTCAGCATCACTAACATGTGTAAATATAAATAAGGTGAATCTGTGTGTGAGAGAGACCAGTTTAAAATCAAGCACTGTTTATTCGTTGTTTGCCATGATGCATTTGTGAACAAACCCAATTCAAACACAAAGATTACGTCATATTGTAGCCATGGTGACACAACAATCAAACTAGTTTATTTTTAAAAAGTAAACTTATTAATTAAATCCTAATTGTATTTTTTTCTCAGCTAAATGCATTAAATAAAATGTAATGACATTGTCATTGTCTATAAATGATGGTACAGGTTTAGATCTATGGTCTGTGTTACAAATGAACCATTTCTAGGGGCCCCTGAATGGCCCCGACCAGCAGCTACTCAGTTTTCTTTGCCTTGATATATGGAGTTAACCCCTTTGAGCTTTTTTGATGTATAAATCACTCTGCAGCCAAGTTGTTCTAGAGGTTAAATAAATATTATTAGGGCTTAATTAGTAAAATTTCAGCAAATTTGCTTATTTCATAACTTCATAACCAGCGACCTTCTTTCCTCTGGTCTGTTTAACAGCTACAGTCTCAGATCAACTCAGCCCTCCAGGACGATCAGCAGCAGAAACAGCAACTTGATACCTGTTGGGGAAAATATATTACATTTGCTTTGTCCCTAGATGATGGCAATGATATAGTAGGATCCAATTAAATTCTGGATCAATACGGGTTGTTGCTATGTTGCTGTACAGTGTCTTAAGATCTTGTTCAATGTCCCCTTTTTCAACTTTGAGCCCCTACCCCTCCAAAGGTCTCTGCACGGCCCTGGATGGTTGGCTTTGTGAAACAGAGATGCTGAAGCAGGCAACAATAACAAAGCATGTTAAAAAGCAGGGGAAAAAACAGGCTTCCAGGAAGCTGCACACAAAGCCGTTGCCACCGACACTTCACCACAAAAATGCTGTTCTTCTGTTTATTAGATTATCCCTGCAAACCTAGGAAATATTTTATTCAGATTACAGCATACAGATTTTTGTCTTTGTGTTTATCATAATAAACTGTTGTTAGTTCAGGAAAACGTCTCTATTCTGACACCTGCTGTTCACCTGCGGTACTGATTCACCATCTGAAACATCGAAATAGATCCCAATACATTGAGATGCCGTCTTTGTGTTACTTTTGAATAAGCAAGTAAAATAAAAACACTGTTTGGTGTAAAATTATATAAATTCCACAATCAGATTGTTGTTGCTGCTGTGGGAAGAGTTTAGGTTCAATGTCACATCACAAGTTTTATCAAGAGAAAAATATTTAAAACTAGAATTAAACATTATTTAAGGTTTGCCAAATAATGCAATTTAAATGTTTTACAACTAATACTAAATAAATAAGCATGTTCAAGCTTTTATGAGGAAAAAGGATTAACAATGTTCCTAGTATTGCCAGTTTCTTCCATTTTGCCACGTTTATGTGTATCTCATAGGAATCTGATGATAAACTGTGAAGCTATGCAGACAACAGCAGTTAAGAAATCCACCTGTAAAAACTATAAAATAAAATAGAAATTGTCTTCCCACTTATAACAGCATTTATGTATATTATGATGCCAGTTTGGTGCTCTTGGGGGCCCCTAATGGTGTGGCAGTCTTAATCGCCACACCACTTAATCAGCCACTTAACTTGAAAATGCCTTTACATTGATTTTAAATGTCCATCTTGTGATACTTTCCTTTTAGGGTAAAAGGAGAAAAATCCTCAAGATTTTCAGAAGGATGAGTCACTGTTATTATTTTTTATTGCATGGCAAAAAAAAAAAAAGCAGAACTGAACATACAGCTTGTAAGTAAGTCAGAGTTCATTTGTGAGCCGCCTGTGGATCCTGATGGTGTTCATTTGGTTGAAGTCATCACTTCTGTCTCTCTCATGGCATACTGGGCTTCTTTCAGCAGAGCCTCTCTGTGTATGATGTACCGCTGTCGCCTATTGGCTCTGTAGCGCTCTAGTCTTTTCTCTTCCTCCTGCGGGTCTGGCAGCACTCCTTCCCAACGCAGGCTGTCCATGGCCTGGACGGCAGCCTTCATTAGATGTGCAGGAACTTTGTTGTTGTTGATTGTATGAGAGGCTGGCTGGTGGCTCCTTGTATCCTTTTGTCGTTCTTTTGCCTTCCCGGCACCCCGAGAGAAGTTATCCTTGGGTTTTGTACCGGTAGCTCGGAACTTGGAAAGCTGAGTTTGACCTGGATCTTGAGAAGATATTGGAGATAAACTCCCAGGATTCTCTGCAAGTAGGAGACATAAACATGTAACCTCTAGCACATTTGCAGACAAAGCTGACAAAAATGAAGGGGCAACTAACCAGGGTTATAATAGTTTGGGTTTTTTTTTATAGTTTAGCTTTATTTTATTGTGACTTTTTGTTTGTCTAATTCAGCTAGCTTAAATTTTATATTCATATTATTATTATTATTATTTATTTTATAGTTATTAGAGCCTTGCAACAATATGTACATTTCCAAGAATGACAATGAAGACTGTCTATGTCTAATTATTTTTTTAAAGAGTGTGCTTGCTATTTTTTAATGACATTATTAGTTAAATATTGTTTAGTTTAAATTAGTAATAGTAGTAGTCTTAGATTAGTTATTTCAAGCTTTTTAATTTTGTTTATAAAAACTAGCTTCTGTATTTTATGTCACACTATGTAAAAACTCAGTTATGTTTGACAGATTATTTTAACATGGTAAATATGTTGTTTTAAAGTTTTAAACTTAGTTGGATGTGGAAGATGTTGTCCAGTTCCGACTATATTGTTATATAATCAGTGATACTGACTTTAACACTACTTTTTTAAAGCGACAAGTCCAAGCATTGCATTTTATCAAATTACTACAATGCTTGCAGCTGAAGATAGTGCCTTGTTGTCTATAATCTGCACTGATTTTGTGAATAGCCCTATCATGATCCTAAACGCATTTTTAATCCATGAAAAAGTCAAAATTGATTACCTTTTATTTTTGAATCAGTAGCAGAAGCGTTATTTCTCTTTTTGTTCCTCCTGATATCAGAGACTCTGGGTGGCAGCTGTTTGTTACGTTTACCCTCGTCTGCCATGATGGTCTTTGAAATGCGCCTGCGCAGACATCGTCAACAACGATTTAGAGCAGAAAGTGACACGAATTAAAAATATACATGGAATTACTTTTGCGAATATTAGTAGCTTTACTCTGTTCTTGTAAATCCCAGAAGATGCTTCGCAGCTACTTTTCCTGTTTGTTCCGGAACTAACGTTTCTCCATGGCAACAGAACACACGCCTCCTGTTTGGTGACAAGCGTCTATTTTACATTTGTACAATATAAAGTTTGATTACTTCCGTTCTACGCCACATACCGCTCCTTTTATTAGAAAAACCAACGTGAAAGCATTCTACTATGTTTAAACTCGAAATAAAATTACTAGTTAATAATCTCACCGAGAACCAATAAAGTGAATGACCCCGACGTGATTTGAACACGCAACCTTCTGATCTGGAGTCAGACGCGCTACCGTTGCGCCACGAGGTCATGACGTAAGATTCTCACATTGTAGAATAAAAACACTACATATAATAGAGTGGGTACCGTACTGTGTTCTGGTGTTTAAAATATATTTAAAATATATATTCAGTGATGAAATGTGGAATTTTAAAGGGAGTTTCCATCCTGTTCCTGACCCACAGAGTCTTCATTGAGGCACAGATCGCACATCTCTGTGCGCAGAAACAAACAGAAGGACTTTAATTGAATAATTAAAGCAAACTTTGATACTTTGAGAAGTACTAGCTCAGCTATAACCACGCTAACCCCACCAAATTTTACAGAAGTAATAGTTTATGGTCACATTTGTGTATCTGCCAAAAATAGCTCAGTAAGAGCCTAAACAAGTCTTTGCTGCTTATTTATTTCCCCACACTACTCAAATACACCGGAGCTGCACAAAGAAAGATGATAAATCATCATGCTGAGTCAGAAATGACACGTAGCATTTATCCATGCTGGAGTGACAAAGTTCACACTGTGATACAGACGCGATACAAAATGTTTTCCTTCAGGCTTTCGCCTTAAAACTGACACAGCTTATCTGAATTTATCTGAATCAAAAATTCAGATAAACTGTTTATATCTGGTGAAAATACAGAGAGAGAAGTGAAGCAGTTTTAAAAAGCAAATGTGTTTCAGCAGGTCAGGTGAATGAGAAGGTTGATCCTCTGAATGAAAATTTTGTTACATGTTCTGTTTCTCGTTTCACACGGGAAGATTATTTGTGACGCCCTGCCTCCGACCTCAAATTCTGTTTGAATAACTGATAAACTTCAAGGCACTTTAAATTTAGTACAAGATAAACAAATTCAATTTGTAATGTTGATTGGCTAATAGTAATCCATTGAGCAAGCCCAACTAAATACAATGAGAAATCCCACATGGTGAGCAAGCATGTGGCGACAGTGGAGAGGAATGACTCCATTTTAGCAAAAGAAACCAACAGCAGAGCTATGAGAGTCCATCTGCATGTTTGAGAGCATAGAAAGAAAATATAAAAAAACACAAAACAATGGTCTAGGAGAAATTTCTGTGAAAATAAAAAACAGTGTGTACACAGAGGAAGTTCAGTTAGCATAGGTTCAGTTAGCATTAGCCTTAAAAAATGTTGTGTGAAACCACTTGACATAACATTTTTAAGTAAGTCCAATAAGTATATTTGTGAGTGCAGGCTTAGAAAGAAAATAGAGCGCGTTGCTGAGACACAACAGTGTACTTTTGATTTGCCTGGGAAAGAAACAGGGACACAGAAATGCATTATGTCAACTGATTTCTGTGATGTAGGAAGAACATAAAGCTAAAAACAGAAAACACAGAGAACTGAAGTAATTTTCCATCCAACATTTAATTAGAAGTAATTCAGAAATACATACATGGGGAGTAGTAGGAAAATGTTTTACAGTAGTGTAAACCAACAGCAGCATAGTTACTTATGTATTTTAGGGTAACCCAAACACTCTCCTCTCAGACAAGGTGTTTGTTTCAACTAATCTGGCCATAAATGAAACGTAAGAAGTTAACTGTTTAAAACATTAAACAGTTAACAGTTTTGAGTTGACATTAAGTCAACTCAAAAATCCTGATGTATCAAAATGGACTGAGATGTGCTGTCAACAATAACAGCACAGTTGTTGGCAGCTTTACAGATTTCAAAGGCATGCCAAGATAGATTCGGAAGGCTTTTGCATAAAATAAGTGTCAGCTCAGTGAGGCCAAGTGTTTTGCAGTGCAAATGAATGGGGGTCAACCTTACCGCTATCCCTCCAAACCAGAGAGCAATTATATCATCTGACAAGCTGAGATATGGGGTATAAAATAGAGATGTAGAGTAGAGCTTATTCCCAGGACTGAATCTATCTGATACTTTTCATTATCATCTTCCTATAGTGCTAGTTACCAAAAATATTTGCAGAACAATTCAAATAAAAGACAAACTGTAATCTTGACGCTTCTATGAGGAAAATAAAGTGATGATTTATATTGTTCCACATTTGATGTCTGTACTCTTCCTAATGTTATGTCATAATGAAAATTACTGATTCATAATGATCTCAAGCCTCATGAATCCTGCAAAAGGACACTGTGTATGACTCATGAATCTGTGAAAGTGACACGCTGAGGCCCAGCAATGAGCAAAGTGATTAGCAGTTCCTCTGAAACAGCTTGACATGGGTCAAGTGTTGAACTTCATGCAAATTGAAAGAAGCTGGAAATTGTAGAATTTGTGTAATCGTCAAAGAAAACCGACTTTCGTAGGATTGCATTTGGTTAAATGGATCAATAAAGCAATCATAAACCCGACCATGATTTGCTGCGTGTGCTCACTGAATCAGGTGACAGTGAGGAAGCAGTTTTTTCCACTGCAGCAACTTTACAGCTGCAGAGTGACAAGCCCAGGTTCTCAGCAGACAGAAAAAGAAGACTGGCCAACAGTCCGAAAATGTGTGTGTCGGCACGCGTCAGCTTGGAAAGGGTAAGAAGTTCATCCATCCTGCTGATGGAAACTGCAGCTGGTTAATAGCGCCACAAAAATAACTTTTATGTAATTAGTGCTGGATCAAAATGATAACAAGTCAGTTCCTTTTCCAGCATGTTCGTACTAAATCTACCTGAATGTCGGCAGGTTGGAATAAACATTTGCTTCACTTTTCATAACAAATGAAACGTTAACAATGTAATCCTCTTTATCATCCCCCATGGTTGTTGTTTTCCTTCCTGCTTGCGCGTATCAGGATGCAGAATAGTGACGTTTGTCGAGTACCAGTGACGTTCAGGTCAGATGAACTGTACAGACTCAAGTCACATTTGAAAAGATCGGATCCGTATCGGATGCCCAAGTGGTCTGGGGCGCATTCGGAAAAAATCCGATCTCTGTTGTTCAGACTATCATGAAAAGTCAAATGTTTAAAGCAAATAAATCAGAATTGGGTTCCTTCAGGCTGCAGTGTGAACGCAGCCTTAATCTCTAGAAGGCCACGCCAAGCTAACTCATGTTAACCAGCTAAAAATGACTCAGTTATTTTCCCTGATTCTCGTTTCATCTTCACTCATCGGTTTTAAGACATAATGCAAATTACTTGTTGACCCAGAACTGAATGAGACAGTAGCAAACAGCAACTTTGTTTTATTGTTTTCATTTCATTATTTTTGGCTGAAACCATTCAGTCTAATTCCTCATTCAGAGGAAACATGTCCGACTTTCCCCATCAAACTACTGAATACCAGCTGCACACGGTGGAGCTCGGATGACGCCAGGCGATATTTGAATGTCAAATAAGCGCTGCACGTGTGCCTCAACGTCATTAAAAGAAAGAAAGCCCATTTTAACCTCAAAATCAATCAAACAAACAAACAAGATTAGATTTATGCAAAACATTATGGCTACCAGGTAAAACTAGGCGGTTACAGTATCTAGATTGTCTGATTTTCCTCCTACTTGAGTTTAACTGCAATAGTTTGTTTTTACTCATCAGTACAGCAGCTATTTTAAACTAAGGGACTCCCCAAGGGTTATTATTTGTATGCTGTATTTCACTCATCAGATATTACTTAGTAACTTATGAAATACATTATTACATATACATATTTGTATTTTCAGCCACATTTACAAAAGATATCCACCTTGTTTATCTGCCCAAGGATTGGCTGGTTGATCATTTCCTCTCTCTTCATTACAGTGAAATAGAGACAATTATTATAGCTCACAGTTTATGAAATCATCCACCAGAGCACAGTATTGTTTAAACATCTTCAGAATAATGAATGTGATCATATTGTATTAAAACTTTGTGCCTCAAGAGGTTCAGGCAAAGTGAACTTGCTAAACTGTTTCTCCTGTAGTCTGTCTGATTATTCAGAATAAATTGTTTACATTAGACATTTGCAGCTAGTTTAGCACTCCTCAAACATAGAATATGAAATGCAGAAATGACACATCTCTTAGTGATCACTACATTTTAGCCACCAGGATGTCACAGCTGTAAAAACAAAGTTATGTTTTTCTTTCATTTCAAATGTCAGAATGTGGAAAATTTTGCTGTTTGAATTGACATCTGTGAAATTCAAATCTCAAAGTCTTGCCACAGATTTCCAAGTGAATTTAGGTCTGGACTTTGACTAGGCCATTCTCATGACCCATTTTATTGTGGCTCTGGTGAAATGCTTAAGGTTGTTGTACTGCTGGTTGATGAACCTTTGACCCAGACTCCAGTATTTTGTAACCTCAAATAAAAGTGTCACACTTGAAAGTATTCACAAGTAGAAAAAAACTGATGCATGATTAACACTTTGATTTCACAAATACAAATCTGAAAAGTGTGGCGTGTGTTTGAAATCCAGGACAACCAACTGCATTCAGAGGCCACCTGATGAGCAAACAGACTCTTTCTCTTTGAGTTATCTGAGGTTTGTTCAAGAGCAACAGTAAGAAACTCTGCTGGTTCCATCTGATCTCTGATTAGAAAAGCGACAAGATGGTAACTCTGGAGGAGCTGCAGTAACAACCTGCTCAGGCAGGACAATCTGACATCAACATATCACTCAACAACCTGGCCTTTACAGAAGAAATCCATTGCTAAAAGAAAGACACCATGTAAATGATGAGTTGAATGTTTTGGGCTATTTTGACGTCCTCATATGGAGAAGAAAATGATCCAATCATTCCAGCAAGTCACCTGCTAATGGCTAAAAACACACAGTGATGGTTTTGGATTACTCTAATCAAAGTTCAAATTAATCTGATTGAGACATTGTGGAGGATCAAAACTGACATAACTAAAAATAAAAGCAGAAATATAAATATTTTATTTATTCTTATACAAGTGTTTGTTCTTTTTACATTTCCTTGTCTCCTCTTTTTCGTTTTCGGCTGTAGTTTAAGGCTTTGACTTCTGCCTGTTGGTTGGTTAGCATTACAGCTTCTTGGCATCAACAAAGATGGCAAGAAGTTTGTCAGTGAG